GTATATAAATATATAACTCATATGGAGTGTACGCTTCTCCATAGAAGTACAGAAATATATACACCATCAAATCAATGGCTAGGTAAAATAGTTACTGGGGGGGGAAGTCTTCTGCTCTCTCTGAAGCATCACGACCCAGAATCCAGCTTTTCAGACCAGGTATGTTCATCTATTTGATTTTCCAATTCCATACGCTCAGTCTGCTAACCGAGCAAACGCAGTAAACTGAAAACTCATCTGTATGTAAATAAACTTATTTGATTACATAACTGTAAATACTTTATCTTACCTCATCCTCCACAGGGTATAAATTTTGTTCTGAGCAGGGCATTTTAACATGTTTGTTGTCCCACAAATCTTTGTAGTGAGTTGGAAAAGGTTTAGGCACCTCTCCTTCCCTCATGAGATCTACCTGCAACACAGAAGGAGGGGGGAAAAAAGCTCAGACTCTACTTTCAAGTTTTTAAATGGAAGAAATAAAAAGTAAGCAAAAATGTAGTTAAAAAAGCTCTCATCTACAGCCACCCTTTTTGGAAAGGGGAAAGCTACAAACTGACCACATGATGGATATTCAGTTAGAAAAAAATCCATCTGTTACTCTTATGTAATACCTGGTGAAAGTAACACCACCTTGTCATTTGACCTCTTGAAACACACTGAAATAAAGGTAATACATAAAATTATTTTATGTCCAATTATCAGCTAAATACTTCCTCATTTATGAATTTAAGTATCTACGTAGTTACATCCAAATATTTCCAAAATGTACTTTCAAATCTAACCATAGTCACGTGCAGAAATAACATTTTTTAACCTAATACTGAGGAGGATAAGAAATCATTACAGATATAGCAATATTTCAAGTTTACTCACAGAATATTAGAAACGTAAAAAGAAATAACGCGATGTTCGTAAAGACTTCATCTGCTATACGGCCTTCTGGCAGCAGCGATTCTCTCAGAACTTGCATTTAAACTTAATGTGCTTTTCTTTTGTTTGTGATTTATCATCCTACAGGTTTCTGGTCACATGTTTTATTTCAACAATAATTTGACTGCATACTACTCCGAAGGATTAAAGGCAAATATATCATATTTGATCTAAAATGCAGTGGTAAAATTGCTAGAAACTCCTCTTCATTCTTTGTCTTTTTCATACCTTGAATATCTTGAGCCTTTTGTATATCTTGAACCCAAACCAGAATCATATTAAAATGAAAACATAACATGAAAATGTTGAAGTACAAATTTTACTTGCAGACGTATTTAAATTCCCACAGTTTACAACTCAAGACAAGGAAGTACACACATACCCATGCAAAAGAAAAATACTTGTCCCTAACAAGCCAGAGGCGGTAAAACCATAATTATATTTCTTCTGGATCTTAATACCCTAATTCTGTGCATCAGAAAAGTCAATTTTCAGGAAAATCAGTTGCCCCAGTCCGCTTGCAAGGAACGGCAAAGAAAGATTTCCACAACCTGCTAATACTATAAGACTAATATTTGGCATTTCATATTATTGAACAGTTCAGTAAGAAATTTGATTTCAGGTAATACACTGAATTATCGTACTCTGACGGTTACTGTATGATTGGCTGAGGGTCGCAGATGAGGAAGACGGGCCCCACACATAGGCATTCTTCTCATCTCTTCAATCGGTGTCCCAAACCACTTCTTATTAGTTGGAAGAGGAGGTGGCATGTATTTAGGAATCTTCCTTCCTGGCCTCTGGGGTTTGAATTCACACTTTTCTTTTCTGCTGTTAAAATAAAATACATTGAAACATATTATCTCCACTGAAAAACCTGGCAGGCAAATACACAAACTTCCACGCCAGGGTTAGGTTTATAACAGAGACAGTTATTTGCTAGCCTTTGCTGTGGCCCCAGGCCAAAGCTTTATTTGGGGAAAACCCCTGCCACCAACCACCTCCTCCTCCCCAACACAAGCAAGTACATGAGGTCTACCAAAACACTCTTCTCTACAGGCTTACAAACACCTTCACAGAACCGCAGTGTGTTAGCAAGGCAGGGTTCTCCTGCAGAGTCACGCGCTTTCCCAACGGGATCTGTTTATCCATGGACAGGAGACAGACTCTTCAGTCTGCATTTGTCAGGATACCCTCTACAGCCCCTTCTCAGCTGTTAGAAAACAAACACGTGTGCATGCACAGATGCACATATTCCTTCTTCAAACTAAAAAAAAAAGATAAACTTCTTAATCACCCTTTCTCACTAGGGTTGTATTTTTCATGCCAGGCATACAATACTTGCAATGGAAGTAGAAATTTAAAAGTAATCTAAAAAACACTTGCAAAATTCAAATATATGCAAGAGCAGATGAACTAATCCTCTTTAATGATCAAGGGTAGTTGCATGGATCCGAGATGTTTAGGGGAAGAAAAATCTGAACCTGCTGTATGTTTGATGTAACATACCAGATGTTTCTCATGCAAGAGAAAGTTCTCAGAGGAAAATGCAAAACAAGTGAAAAGCCTACACTTTGAGATACTATTTAGACCTCTAAATTCCCCTTAGTGAACTTACTCCACCCTTGGATAAAGATGTTGTCCAACCTGTTCACTGCATCTATGCATATGCCAGTATCTTCAGGTGCAGACAATGCCTTCAACCTGGCCGATCACATGCAAATGGTGTAGCCCCATGGCATGACACTGGGTACAGGCCCGCTGCGCTCATCTGAGAGCCAAAGGATCATTCTGGCATAGCATTACTGATGACTGAAACCTGTTTGATACACTACTACTACTTTCTCTGCAAGTTAAGATCTGAGCCACTCTTATCTGCTGTAGACCTGGTCTAGTGAAAACCAGGAGGAAAGCTTTAAGATTTTCTAATTGCCCTCTTAAGCACTATATACAATACCACTATTTCGTCTGGCACCGAGGTGTATAACTTTCCTGGCACTGAGGTGTATAACCATCACATCATCTTGTTTAGGCCAAAAAAAAAAAAAAATCTCTACAGCCTCATACTCTACCTTACTAATTATTCTGTAAAGCACTGCTAGGATTCCCATCTATCCACACAGCAAAACTTTTGCATGAGCTTCCCTTCTCAAACATGGATTTATTGTAACACGCGATGCTCTAGCACTGACAAACGCAAGCCTCAACCTCTGCTGCTTTGCTACAACAGCAATTCATTTAAATTAGTGAAAAGAGTACTCCCTAAACCCATCATCCTAAACTTTATGACCCCCTTCTCCATACTTCTTTTAGCAAATTCTTCATCCATCCATTTTTCCTAAGAACTACCTTTTTTTGTTTTCCAAATCCACTCTCGGCCTACTCATCTCTTAAGACTTCTCAAATGCAAGCTCCTGCCGCTAGTTAGCCACCCTCCATCACCCTCTTCGTTTCCTTGAAAGGTATGGTTTGCGCTGCTCCTCACATCCAGAAAGGACCTCTCAGTAAAGATGTGCAAAACTACTTTCTTGCCCTACTTCAAGGACTTGAGTCTACTGAGATAATTGCTTATTACACCAACACACGCAGACCTCTTGTTTCTGCTCACTCCTTTGCTGTTTATTCACTTTCTCAGCTCCCACTGAAATCTAAGCTCTTCAGCAAGCTCTTCAGAGCAGAGATTATCCTTTTGTCCTTATACAATATCTAGCATACAGAGTCTTGGGTCATGCTCAGGGCTTCTATTTCCATTGCTGTAGTGTGTAATCACCAGTCCTTCTCCCTCCCAAATTATGAATAAAGCCAAAAAAAATCCCCAAAAACCCTCACACATATCTCTACAACTGCTTTCAAAAGTGAAATTTTTCATGTCTATTTCAATCAAAGCATCAGTGCTACTGATGCTTCAACAAAATACATTCAGTATTTTTGACAGATGAAACTAGAAAAACCAAGAAAACATCAGTTTCCTCAAGTATTCTGAATGAAATAATGAATGCTAGAGCTACACTCCATAAAGCACTCCTGTACCACCATTCATTTTCAAGCATTAAAAATCCTCCCATGGTCTTAAATCACTTCTTTGATAATCAACTTCCTACAGTGTCTTTAATTCCCAATTTTAACAGATCTCCAATGATTTAAAAAATTGCACTGGACAAACATATCCTTTAAAAAAACCACAAGTAGTCCCACTAAAAATAAGTTACTTCAAGTTTACATCAAAGTTGTCTTTGTGTCTTAACATACATTTTGCAAAACTCTTTATACGATCCAGCCTCCAAAGTGCTATCGCCAAAGAGGAAATTTTCGAGCGTGAAAAAACAGATGAAGAGGCAGACAGAACACTACCTTTTCTCCTCAATCTTAGGTATCCTCATGAAGTGAGAGGTGATTTTGGAGTCTCTCTTCACACCCTGTTTTGCACCTTTGCATTCTGATGATGGAGCAGGAGAGATCCCAGGTGACTTTGTATGCAGACCGTCCTCTTTACCAGAATTATCTATTTCCTCAAAGCTTTCACAGCCCTTGGCAGAAAAGCGTGACTTTCGTGACTCCAGTTCAGCATCCCCATATTGAAGTCTAAAAGATTTGTTTATGGATTTTGACATATTAATCTCCTCTCGCTCGTCAAGAAACGGACTCGTTTCTTCATCAGCCTCTGACCCGTGACAGCTGTTTTTAGAATTATCTACATCCATTGGTGACTCCGGTTCACTTTCTTTCTCAAAAGCAGGTGAATCCCCTGAACTGCTCTGACATTTGCTCAGTTTCCCAGGACCTCCAAGATCAGATACATAAGCGTCACAACCAGCATCTGAAAGTGGACTTTCCGGAACTACATCCCCTTCTTCTTGTTCACCCGTTAAACAGACAGAATTGCAACTCTTCAGCTTCTGTGAATTGCATGAAGCCACTTGTCCATCTGTCTCGGTGTCTTTTGAAGAAAGTGTTGTATTTCCCATTTTCAAAGACCGGCCTGATGATAATTTCCTCTGAGTCCAATTGTCACTGCTTTCTTCACAGCCCCTCTGAGTCTGCTTGCCAGTTTTGTGCATCTGATCGATGTTGGCGTTTTTAAAGAGGTCTCCAGACTGCATCCCCTTCACAGGCTCCGTGTCTAAGACTGGATCTTTGTCCTCAGCCTCCCAGTTATACATGCTGCCTGTCTGAGGCAAATTTACATGCTTTGCACCAACTTCCACAGATATTTTTGAATAATTTTGCTGACAAATATTCTCTAGCTTTTTCACATCATGCTCACAAAAGTTCTCCTTTTTAATGGAAGTCATCTTGGGATTTGCTTCAGTATTGTTATTAATTTTGCTGTGTAAGCTGTGGAAGAGAAGTAAGGGAATTAATGTCTTACCTCCAAATGAAATTTCTGTGTGTTTATATATATATATTTTTTTTTAGAGGAATGATTATAAACATACAATAGAAACTACAGAATTTTACCCATTATACTCTGTAAGTGAGCACTACCAGGATCAACAAGTTTTACCACACCGGGTAATGCAGCTCAGTAACAACCTATTTCCATTTAAAGGCTCCAAAGGATGACGAATCAGTCGCTTACCTTAGAAATCTATTCCAGTGATTCATTATCCTTATTTTCAAATCTAAACAGTATTAAGCTATTATTTAGGTTTTTTCTCCAGATGAAAAAAGTTAGAAGTCATGATAAAGTCCTCCTTTACTTCCATTTTAATCAGTTAAATACAGTGAGCAAGGAAATCAATGGTTTTGTAGTCATCCCCTCAGAGCTACAAATTCATCTTTTAGAAGAGCAGGACACAGTAGTCCATAGTCTCAAAAACATCCTATTGCTTCCTCACTTTTATAAGCAGCCCATGACTCTTAAAAAAAATCAAAATACAAAAGCATAAGAGTAAAATATATTTAGAACTGATAATAAAAATTAAAAGACACATTAAATCAATTATTATTTTTAAAGAGAAAAATAACCTCATTTGTCCTGGGCTGTCTTACACAAAGAACAAAGAAATGTGTCCTAACGGTTACACAGGGAAGTGAAACGAGTTTTGTATGAGCAGATGAAACTTTTCAAGACACTGGAAAGTCATTTCACACTTACATACTAATTTTTTTGTCAGTGTATCTATAAAGAAAAACGCCATATGAATATTGAAAAAACCTTACTAGCCTTGGTGAATACATCACTCTGAACAATACCTTCTCCTGAATGTATTGTTACAACATCATATATAACCAACGTAAACTAAGCACGCTAAACTCTGTATGTCTGGTCATTGCCCAGTTTCCCATCTACACTAAATAAGAAAATACACAATTATCTCACAATCCTAAATTCGGCAACTGAACATCCCGATAGATTCCTGAAGGTATTAATTCTCTCGATGAATAACAGATCCTCTTCTAAAAGAGCACTCTGGATAAAAAGATAGCATTCACACCGTTACCACTACAGAACAAAAAGAAAAAAAAAAAAAAAAAAAGGGGCTTGGAGGAACAGATGATAGTTTGGAACTTCACCCATAGGAAGATTATTTGAAGACAAAAGGATTTTAGAGAGTTTTATGTTACGATAATTTAACTCCCCATCTATGCATTTGTTCCTGCACTGAAAATTCTGATGAACAAAAATGAAAGTTATGTTACTGCTGCCATCTCAGTAAATGACTGTTTAAAGGTTTTGACAACATCTTTTGTCAACTTCAGATGAGAAATCAATTCTAACACAAAGACAGTGTTCAAATCCAAATAAATTAAAATTGTGATGTTAGCTGCAACAGAAAGGCACATGAAGTGTTTATATGACTAACCTGCTGCTTAAAACTGACTAGGCTGTAACCTGTCAGCAAGGCTGGAGGAGGGCATATAAAAGCAATACTCTAAAGGGAATCTTAAAAAAAAATTCATTCCCTCCTTAAGCATCCTCTTAACATCTTTGCTTTACTGCAACCTATGAGCCTGTAATTGAGCCCTCTGTACTTCTGTATTAATCATTATCACAAGTTTTCCTAGCTATTTTAGCACTGCTAAATTTCTATTTATTAACAAACATCAATGAAAAATAAACCAGCACATTTACAATTGCAATTATAGAAAAAATAATATCTGATATTCCTCTGCACCAGATAGTTAAACTCTTAAGAGTTTAACACTGCCTTGCAAACATTGCTCCTGACAGACTACATTAGCAGAAAATATCAAACTTTACCTGGTGCCATTCAGCAGCAAAACTTTTATAATATCTTTCACAAAAAATGTGAACGCACATTTGAGCACCTGTAAATTATAGCCCCAATTAAATCAAGTTGCCCATGCTTATACTACCATCACAGTCCGACCAGACGAACCAAAACAGACTTTTGTCTGTAAATTAACAACAGAATTGTGAGTTGAATGCAGGACGGTCAGCCAAAATCTGTAACTGTTACTGCCCTATGTTAAACAAAAATAAAAGCAGAGCTGTTGACTAAGGACATGGTCTGATATTACAGCTGACTCGATCCAGTGGTTGGCTGCCACTGGAAGCAGCAGTCCCACTTTGCCTTCCCTTGATGCAAGTCCCCATCTTTTTCTTTGCAGGAGCAGCAGTGTTTATTCACCTGAACAGTGAAGTGCTTCAGGAAGCTAAGTCAGCAAAAAAGTTTGGGTTTGGGGGTTAGAGCGGAAGGGTGGGGGACCAGTTACCTTTTGGTAGTGAAAGTCTGTCAGTTAGTTATACTCAAGAGGATGTGCCAAGGTAAGGAAAGCAACAGAAATGGGGTTGCCTTTTTTTCAGTAGCTAGCTGTACTGGCAACCTGCACTTTGAGTTCCCCACAGGCCCACTCAAAGAACACAACTTTTGAATAGGTATGCTGTACATTTTACCTTTTGGACTCAGTTGTCTTGGGTCCTTTATTCTCCAACCAAGTGGTAATTGTCCGTTGTTTACAAACTGAAAAACCACAGTTCACTGCATTATTACATGAAACATGATAAAACTGCAACATGATTGCATATGAGTAAGATAACTTGTACAGGACGAAGACAAAAACACATCAATTAAGTCCTCATTATCATCTCTACTATAGGGAGCATCCAGACACTAAAACTATTAAAACTACATGTGATGCAATATTTAATTTGTATCAGTCAGCAGCTGTAGCTTCTGTAATAATCTTTATAAATACCAGGCTTGGTGTGTGGTGGGTTTTTTTCAATCCAACTTTTTTTTTTTTAATATGGTTTAACACATACAGTGAATCTCTCGATAAAAAAAAAAAAAGCAACTTGAACTTTCTAGCTCTCGTTATCACCTTTAATTACCACCACCACAGTGAGCCCTGAAAGACTTCTGCTGAATTTTGGAATGAAGAGGCAACATGACATAGCTTAAAACAAACACACACAAACCTAACAACTAGGTATCTTAGAAGACCCAGCCGAGAACCTTATTTGTATGTAGCATACTGTGAAACATGAGGCTTAAAGATTGTGCACATGTTAGAAGCGACAAGTGCTGAGAAAAGGACTTTCTCTTTTTCCCTCCATCCACAAACAATTTGTAAAGCCTATCAATGCTTACTCCCCTAAACAGCAACAAAACATGAAGGACGTGATTTTTTCAGATTTACTACCAACGACACAGCTCCAGTGAATGTGATCTCTGTTGATGCTGCACTTCAGACAAGCTTTCAACAGAACAGCAGCACATGAACTAATTATGTAGAGACTTGGGGAGGGGGAATAGGGAGGAAAAACCTCAAAGCAGTTATTTCACAACTGGAAAGTAATCTTCATTAGTATAAGAAGGGGTTTTTTTTTAGTTTAGTTTTGTTGTTGTTATTTAAAGGTAATTCTGAAAATTTGGCAATTAGCTTCAGTTCCCTTTCTTTTCATTTGCCAAGAGAAGTTACCTACCTGCCACTGCTGACTGTGCAAGGCGTATACTCACTGCTTTCAACTGGGTAAGTAAAATCTGTCGTTCTCCTATTGCAACAGTAGTTTTGCAGAACTTAAAAACCAGTACAGCAGATCTGGCTATTCTGATTAGTAGTCACTACGGAAAGGCTCAGCATTTTACTGCAAATGGAGGTCGTGTAACTTCTAGCATAGGTAGCTTAGGCCACAGGTAACTTAAGAGACATTGTTTCATAAAAGCTTTCCCTAACCTTCGAGGCCTTGAACACTTTTCCATAGCTGGTTACCAAATATCCTCATCAAAAGTACAGAATTTCTACAATGAAAAAAGTAATCTCCAGAAAACGTTTAAATCATTTTAAGTTCTTCTGAAACAGCAGAAACAATAGTGCAAAATTGCCACCATGCGACTAGGTCACCAGGGAGTAATGCCAAGCTGTATGTGGATTACAAGCACAAGGATACCTGTGCCATACTCAGCCACTCAATTTTTCAACAAACACTCAGCTCCACCCCACTCAACAAAAATAACAGCTTGATGGATTTTATGAACTAAAAGATTTTTATTTCTAAAGATTCACTAAAACTGAAGTATATTAGTCATTCTGTTTACCAAATTTCACCTTCTTATATTTGAAGTGTTAACCCAAATTGCCTACAGGAAAGGGGAAAGAAGCAGCCAGAAAAAAAAACCTGAAGAGACATGTTAAAACACGGGACAAATAAATCTCTTCAAAGGCAGCTGACGACCTCTTGAAGTATAAACTTGCATTGCGGAAGGCATACTGATTCATTAGCGCAATAAACAGAAACGATAGCAGCAGCAGAACAGAATGAAATGGCTTCGGTCAGAACTTTCACATCGGACTAGCCATTTAAGCCCTATAACCAACACAACACACATCAATTTTCTTTAATACTACTAATCTCTCTTTTTGCTACAGATAAGGTGATAAAGACATAAAAGGCAACAAAAAGATACCATATGCTTACATTCAGCATAAACAATAAAACCAGACTTTGGTGTAATTTTCTTTTTAAAGAGGTCTCCAAATTTCTATTCAAGATTCCCCAAATGATTCCCATAAAAGAAACCATTCCTCGGAATCTACCACTGAGGAAAACAACTGAATTTTTAGAAGATCCTTATTTATCACTCTGTAGGAGTGCACATGTATAACTTCAAACTATTATCTACTCAAAGTTGCCTCTTAGTTACTAGCTACTGAGGTTTAACTCATCAACCGAAGACCACAGCAAATCTGTCCGGCTTTTTTCCCTTCCCTGCATTCCTTTCCACTCCTGAAACAGATACTTTATCGTGCATTAGGATTTTATTTTGACAGCATTAGCTCCAAATAAAAATAACCTAAGGAAGCCATGCGGGGGACTCGTTCTACGCGGCTTCGTCACACGGCAGGAGGGGCACCCCACACCACCAGCAGCGCCCCAGGCCTGCAGCCACATGCCCACGCGGGTTCCCGTCGTCAGCCTCGGCTCTCCCCGCCCTGGCAGCCTGGCACAACACCCCGCTGACCGGCATCTCCCTCGCAGCAAGTGCCTGTCCTCTCACGTAACGAAACACGCTACCTTCAGCGGCTCACGCCTCACCGGGATGGTCGCGCCGTTACCGAAAGTTTGTCAAGAACAAGGCACAAAGCCGGGATAACGATGCTGTTACCCGAAGCCGTCTCCGAAGGGGAGCAACGCGCACTGCCCCACACCGCCGGGCTCGGGTAGAGGGGACGCGCTGGCTCCGGGAAGCGAAGTTAGAGACGATTCAAGCCCGACATGGAAGGCCAGCTCCGAGGAGGCTACGCGCAGCGGCACAAGCGGCCTCTCGCCATTTAACGCTACCCGCCCTTCAGCGTACCAGGCGAACAGCAGCACAGCAGAGATGCAATAAGCAGC